GGTTTTTTTTTTTTTTTTTCAAAGATGGAAAATCTGATTTGTATTCATTTCCTTCATTGTTAAACGACACGTTTGGCGATTAGAAGTTGAAGATGGTTTTGCAGCAATTTGATGATTCATTCAACAGTTACATTTCTGCAGACTAGTGAAAGCATGTAGTATAAGCTAGGTTAGGTTTTGTTGTTAAATTTCAATTGATTTGATGATTCTTTTTGTAACTTGGCAGAGGTGTAACTAAAGGAGATAAGTGGTTTTCACAAAAACCTAAAACCTTATTCTGTCTTGGTCATGGCTTGTACAATTGCATATTTCTTTCAAGACATTGTTGGTTTTTAGATGAAGAACTTCATTTTGTTTAGCTCCCCAATAAAGATCGATTTCCATTGAACATCCAAACCAGATGAGAAAGATTATTTTCTTGAATAATTTTATTAATATCTGTCATAATTTTATTGATATTTATTATAATAACCTAAAATTTGATTTTTCATGGTTCATTTTGATAATATTTTAGTTAAGATAAACATGAAAACACATTTCAAGTTCTAAGTTCTAACAATATTATTCTCTTTTTTTTTCACAAATATTGACTTTTCATCTTAAAATATTTATAGAAATCGTAAAAATTTAGGTAACTTTCTTGTTTTCAATTAGTTGACGAAATCAAGTTAGTGAATTATTGTGAAATCAAATTGATGAATTATTCTTTGTCAATACGATTTTTCCTTAAATTGGGATATTTTAAACAATCAAGAAAAAAGCTACTGAAAATCAGAAATATATCGACAAATTCATTTCGCCCGGCAATCCCTCCTAGAGCGAATTGGGGTTTACATCGTCGAGGGCGACATAAATGACTCAAAATTGTTAAAAAGGCTTTTCGAAATCGTGCCTTTCACTCACGTAATGCACTTAGCTGCTCAGGCTGGAGTTCGGTACGCCATGGTTAATCCCGGCTCTTACATACACAGCAATATAGCTGGATTTGTTAACTTACTCGAGGTTTGCAAGAGCGTTAATCCTCAGCCGGCTATTGTTTGGGCCTCGAGTAGCTCGGTGTACGGATTAAACAAGAATGTACCTTTTTCCGAAAGGGATAGAACAGATCAGCCGGCTAGCCTTTACGCCGCCACTAAAAAGGCCGGCGAGGAAATTGCTCACACTTATAATCACATATACGGGCTTTCGTTAACCGGGCTTAGGTTCTTCACGGTTTACGGGCCTTGGGGAAGGCCCGACATGGCGTATTTCTTCTTCACCAAGGATATATTGAAAGGGAAATCGATACCGATATTTGAAGCTGCTAATCACGGTACTGTTGCTCGGGACTTTACGTACATTGATGATATTGTTAAGGGCTGTTTGGGTGCTCTAGATACAGCTGAAAAAAGTACGGGAAGTGGAGGGAAAAAGCAAGGCCCGGCCCAGTTGAGAGTTTATAATCTAGGGAATACTTCACCTGTGCCGGTTTTGGATTTAGTGAGTATTTTGGAGAGATTGCTTAAGGTGAAAGCAAAAAGGACGGTTATGAAGCTGCCGAGGAATGGTGATGTTCAGTTTACGCATGCGAATATTAGTTTGGCTCAAAGGGAGCTCGGTTATAAGCCAACGACCGATTTGCAGACAGGGCTGAAGAAATTCGTGCGGTGGTACCTCAGTTACTATGATGGGAAAAAGAGTGAGCAGTGAATATGGGGAGTTTTCTTTTTATTAAAAGAAGAAAGAAGAAGAAACAAAAGATATCCGGTAAGGATAAATGGATAAAAATCTATTCTTTTTTTCCCCTTTTGCATATTTGATTCGTATAATTGTTACCTATCTGTGTTTAGTTTGCCCTTTGCCCGATTAGATTGTCTTTTGTGCGTGTAAGAATGAGATAATCATGTGACGATCAAGTTCTCTTGTGATTTTCGTGGGCATCAAACGACAAATAAGCTTTTGTCGTTTCCGTGGGTTGTTTGTTTGTACTATGTAGTTTTTATGGTTGTGTAGTATTAATGGCTGATAGAAAGAAAGAGTTTGATTGTTCGAATAAATTAGCGTACTATAGTTTGGTTTTATCGTGATCTTTTATGTATACTTTCCATGGATATGAAACTTTTGCTTAAAGTCTCTGCTTAGTTAGTGTCATTTATTATTGCCCTATATGATTACAGAAGTATTCTTTTGTTCTCGTTGTCTGTTTATGATGATATCAACTGTTTTTCTTTATTATAAGCGTTGAGTGTATGACATTTGGATGTTTTTGGTCGGACTAATTTATCTTGACATATATATACCGATGCTTTTGGTAATGAATCTTTAGTTAGATCTCTGTAAAACTAGGTTCATGAGAAATTTTTTCGAGAATGTCTGCATTTGCATTGTTTTGGTGTTCATTTAGGAAGCAAGATTGGATCTAATAAGCCAAAGCAATCTTGATTTATAGGTATACTTTGGTAACATTTTAGATATATATTTGGTAAGAATCGTACTTCGGTACTTGTACTTTGTTAACATTTATGGTAGGTTATCGGCCATTTAGGCTAACATTTATGTGTGCCTAATGCTTATGCTTTAAGTATGATCTTAGCTAAACCTTGCATTCTTTTACTTTATCTTTGCGCAAGTAGTTATTAGTTTGAATGAGGATTGTGATGTGCTGTTTGAATCAACTCATGTCCATAATGGGTTTTTTTTTTTTTTTTTCAAAGATGGAAAATCTGATTTGTATTCATTTCCTTCATTGTTAAACGACACGTTTGGCGATTAGAAGTTGAAGATGGTTTTGCAGCAATTTGATGATTCATTCAACAGTTACATTTCTGCAGACTAGTGAAAGCATGTAGTATAAGCTAGGTTAGGTTTTGTTGTTAAATTTCAATTGATTTGATGATTCTTTTTGTAACTTGGCAGAGGTGTAACTAAAGGAGATAAGTGGTTTTCACAAAAACCTAAAACCTTATTCTGTCTTGGTCATGGCTTGTACAATTGCATATTTCTTTCAAGACATTGTTGGTTTTTAGATGAAGAACTTCATTTTGTTTAGCTCCCCAATAAAGATCGATTTCCATTGAACATCCAAACCAGATGAGAAAGATTATTTTCTTGAATAATTTTATTAATATCTGTCATAATTTTATTGATATTTATTATAATAACCTAAAATTTGATTTTTCATGGTTCATTTTGATAATATTTTAGTTAAGATAAACATGAAAACACATTTCAAGTTCTAAGTTCTAACAATATTATTCTCTTTTTTTTTCACAAATATTGACTTTTCATCTTAAAATATTTATAGAAATCGTAAAAATTTAGGTAACTTTCTTGTTTTCAATTAGTTGACGAAATCAAGTTAGTGAATTATTGTGAAATCAAATTGATGAATTATTCTTTGTCAATACGATTTTTCCTTAAATTGGGATATTTTAAACAATCAAGAAAAAAGCTACTGAAAATCAGAAATATATCGACAAATTCATTTCGCAGCTCACGAAACATTGTGAAGCTTTGCTGATCCGAGGATTTCTTCACTGCTACAACTGCCAACTTCCTGAAACCCGAAAGAGAAAAGCATTTGGGTTGTTTCATGGGCCTTTTGGGCTCTTTATGGATACTCTTTTGGACCATTATTAAGGCCGTAATCTTGTCTAAGTTGCATTTGGGCCTACCAGGTAGTATGTATATATAATGATCTTATTATTTATTTTTTTCAAAACGGTAAATTTTATATATATTGACGAAACAAACGAATTAGATGACAACCATACAACTGACACAACAACCATACGGCCGAAGAAATAAGCTATCTAGTTGAATCTAGTAAGAAGAACTAAATCAATGGTAGCCTATAACCCACCTAAAACAACACAAGCACAAAACGATTCCAAAAAGAGACAAACAAACAAAAGCTCCCACAAGTGGATAATAAACAGAACGCACTCCCAACGAGATAAAATAAAGACAAAACACAACCACAAAACAGACAAAAACAAATACACAATATTTTCCGCAACAGTTAACCACACCAAGCAAAAACGCCAACAGACATCCACCCACACGGGCAGAGCCACGACCCTAAAATCCTCTTTTAACTATCAATTTTTTTAGTATCCATGTCCTCGTGTACTGAAAAAAAGCCGCGCTACACCCATTTTTTAACTTATTATTCTAAAATCTCTCGCTCACTCGTTTTAATGATCTTATTATAAATGTTTTGTTGATTTATTTCATTTAATTATGCTAAATTGCAAACTACCAAGTTCCAGTCTTTGTTTTGTTTATAATTTAATTTTCACAATAAAAAGGCAAGAGTTTTCAATTTGGTCATTTATTTATTTATTTTTTTTATTTCTAGTTTTGTTATGAATCGTTCTTCCTGTAGTTGTCAAAACCGGGACGGACCGATTGAACCGGGAACCGGCCGGTCCGACCGGTTGAACCGGAAATCGGCCAGTTAACCGGTCTGATTCAATGGAAGAAACCGGTTGTGGCCAAAACCGATCGAACCGGCCAAAACCGGCCAAAAAACCGATTGGTTCAACCGGTTAATTTTTTTTTTTCTTTTTTTTTTGCCAATCCGGTCAAATAATTTTTATTATAAATTCTAACACTTTTCTAAATCAACTAACTTTTTATGGTTACCGATGTAGGACAAGATGTAAGAATTCTAAATTTTCAATTGTAAAGGTAAAGGATTAAAGCCACGCGTGGAAGAAATTTATTTTTCCTTTTACCTGCGTGTGGAAGGAATTTCTTTTCCCATATCTCATCTTTATTTCCTATTATTTTATTGCCCAATGTGGTAGTGTGAGGAAATATTTCTTTTCTTTTTTTTCCATATTTTTGTACTATCATTTTATTACTTAATCTATCTATTGTGGGACCAACCTTTTAAAAAATAAGTCAACTATATTTAATATTTATAAAGTATTATATATTTAAAATATCAATAAATTAAATAACTTAAAAATTAAGCTAACTATATCTATGAAATATTATATATATATATATTTAAAAATATCAATAAATTAAATAACGACCCAATCGATTCAACCACTGGTCGGACCAGTAAATCATTGAACCAGTAACTTGACCGGTTCGATGACCGGTCTGGTTTTGACAACAATTTTCATCGGTGTCAGTTGAAAAAACATATAACATTGGAGCCGAAACACGAACATGGAGAAAAATCAAGGACTCAATCGCAAATACGAGCGCATCTATAAAAGCGTTCCATTTTTTCTTCCCAGCTTAAAATTCTAGGGTTTCTACTCGGCTCAGTAAGTCTCACCTCAGCTAATCGACGCCGCCGCCTCTCTCCGCCGGGCACTAGAAAGCCGCCACCATGGGTCGTATGCACAGCCGAGGGTCTGCCATTTTTCTATTTGTGTGTAATTTTATCATCGGACATTTTTTTATTATTTCTGAAAATGTATTTTTTTGGGGAATTGCAGTAAGGGTATTTCAGCATCAGCACTTCCTTACAAGAGGACTCCACCAAGCTGGCTCAAGATCTCTTCTCAGGACGTATGTGATTGCTCCTCTTTTGATTGCCTATGACATAAATGATGAATCTCTTATCATAAATTCATACATGCAATGCTGCCTGTTTCATATGGCTACTATATTTTTTATTTCATTGACTTGATTTATTCATCCTAAAATTACTAGTGTAAAATTCATAAATCCACCAGTTGGTCCATATAATTGTCATTTTCTAAAATGAGCTGAGAAAATTGACTGGAGTACTTCATCGCCTTCCAACAGCTTTATCCTTCATCTGCCACTGATTGTTTGATTCATGAGTTTGTTTCATTACTATGCACGGTCAAGTAATTATGGCTTTTCGTTGTCCCGCAATTCCGTACCATTGCTTGTTTTATGATTTCTGTATCTTTTATATTTGCCACAACTTTGCTGAAAAATAAATACGTTTTTTACTAATAACCTATTTGTGTTCAGGTCGAAGAGAACATTTGCAAGTTTGCCAAAAAGGGGTTAACACCCTCTCAAATTGGTGTTATTCTTCGTGATTCTCATGGGATTGCTCAGGTGAAGAGTGTCACTGGCAGCAAGATTTTGAGGATTCTCAAGGCTCATGGTAAAATGCTGTCCACATCCAATGTGTTTTGTTTTCTTTTTATAGCCATGAATGAATTTGTAACTAACCAATAATTTTATTTTTATTTTTATCTAATTTATCCCTATCCACAGGGCTTGCCCCCGAGATTCCCGAGGATCTGTACCACCTCATCAAAAAAGCTGTTGCCATCCGGAAGCATCTGGAGAGGAATAGAAAGGATAAGGACTCCAAATTCAGGCTGATTCTTGTTGAGAGTAGGATTCACAGACTTGCTCGTTACTACAAGAAGACCAAGAAGCTCCCGCCTGTCTGGAAATAGTAAGACCATGTTTTTACTTTTCCTGTGCAGAGTTGTGTATTGGTTGATCATCGTTTATATATGATCTGTTGTCAAATAAGTCATCATTTGCGAGAGCACATGGTTTATCTGTTATGGCTGATCTGTTGTCAAATAAGTCATCATTTGCGAGAGCACATGGTTTATCTGTTATGGCTATCGATTGTTAATTCCATTGTTTTTGGTGATCTATGATCTAGAGTGTTTTAGTATTTAGCATGCTTAGTACAATAGTAACCATGTGTATTTTTCTCTGCAGTGAATCCACAACAGCTAGCACTCTTGTGGCTTGAAGAGTATGCAAGGAAGAAAATGGATTTTGTTTTTCCAGTTATATTTCAAAAGGGGAGCTCATGATTTTGGATGCTTTTGCTTATGAGACCTTGTATTTGTTATGAGACTAGTTCAATCGAATCTTTGTACTGATCAATTTGCTAAAATGTGCTATTTTGGAGATTTTGTTTTAGTGTCTTGTTCAATTAGCCATTTTTATTTCTGAGTGTGATATGATTCCTGGGTTAAGCGTACAACTATTCTCCTTCTCGAGCATTATGAAACTCCCATTTTAGTACAATCCATGAATAGATGTGGAATTGTGGTATGTTTGAAATTATGCAAAATACATTTTATTACAATCTTAATGTTGGTATGTTTGGAATTATGCAGACTAACATTTTATTACAATCTTGCAATTCAATCGTGCCCTTAGTATTATTGTAACCAAATCACATTTTGACATCGAGCTCGAACAGAAAACTGGTGGTTCCAATCTAGACACAATGTCAGCAATATTTGAATAAAACATTGTCAAAGGGAAAAATTAAACAAAAAAAAAAAAGATGCTAATTAAGATGTGCGTGTATCATTATTCAACCCTTAATTACACATTTTACCGACTAAAATGTAATGAGAGCAACCAATTTTCCTCAACACCAAAAGAAAAAAAACAAAGGTAAAATTACGGTACCATTACGTGTTACGGAAAAACAATAAAGTACAACAGAAAAAAAGAAAAAATGCTACAATCAATCTACATTTCTAACAAGCGAAGCTTACACGTCGTAACAAGTTGGGCTGCAGCCAAACGAACGACCCTAGTTCTCTATACGGTATACAGTAATTTTTCTTCACCAATGAAAAAATCTAAAACCCGTCAGCCACCTTTTGTCGAGACATTAAATCTGTCAGCACAAAAAATTTCCAGTCCAATTTTCAATTCACCTGATGAAGTCGATGAATTCTGTGTAATATCATCATTTTCAGACAAGAATTGCAGGGGTACTATTAATTGTAAGATTATCATCAATCTCAAAATTCTTCAGAGTCCAAATCAGGTTTCGAAGGATATTCAAGACCCTGAAGAGCTGGAATCCGGCGTATGTCTTCTTCAGCGTAAGCTGGTAAGAACCAATACTTCTTGTCCATTCCAAACACCTGTACAAGATAATATGTCTTTCATCAGTTCTTGAGCTCAAATTAATTTTCAACACTAAGCTATGGGAGTATTATAATATAACACAAAGGTTCTTTGGTAAATGCATATATATACATATATTCGAGAGTTGCAGCAATTAGCAAAAGAAATTCGAAATATAGTTTTGAGCTTAGCTGTCAACTGATACATTATTGATCCATGTACTAGGTGATATGTGTAATTCCATTTATTATGTTACTTTCTGCTCTGATCAGACACTAAATACTCTCGGAATTTGTGAGGAATTAACAAAAACCTCACAAAAAAAACAATTTGAGAGACACTAAAAGAAGTTCTTGGTTCAGCACAAACTCAAACCACACAAAAAATTAAAAATTTAAACACAAAGTTGAGTTGAATATCAAGAGTTCCCTGACCTGCTCAAAGTTTCTCTTTCGTCCAAGATCATAACGCCATTTTGGAGAAGTCTTCTTCTCATAAGCCTTCACACAAAAAAACAATAAATGTCAGCCATCATCTCACTTGATCTGATTGCAGGGTAAGTCGAAGAATATAAAGGAAACCCCTTTGAGTATACAAAGTTCACTAAAGAACTAAGAGCATTCTAATGAGGAGAAAAAAAAAAAGACAACAGCATTGTTGAACAACTAACATCCAATGCAGAAAACTGATTAGTTTAAAATACAGATATTCAGCTGAAACTAGTGTAAAAAATTTGCTTAAAATTCATATAAATGATCAAGAACAATAAAGCACATAATACCTCGATGGTTGTTGTATTTGCAGCCACCAACGATATATGCATAATCAGGAATCCCATTACACTCAAAGCAAATGCCAAATTTAATACTGCAAAAAAATAGATATGCATCAGCCGAGCATAGAGAATAACCTAGAAGGTTAGAGAGAAAAATATAGTGTACCAAAAGCAAGAAAAGTTGTCGCTAGACTTCCTGGAGTTCCAGCAATCTCGCCATCACCAAAGAAAGCAATGAATTGTGGCAGTAATGATAATGTAACGACACTAGTTTCGAGGAATGTGTAGAACTGCATGAGAAAAAAAAAAAAGAAAAAAATAAAGTAATCAAGAAACAATTAATCGAAAAAGTTTCAGAAAGCCCAGAATATCTTCCTAGTTTATTCATTAGTGGGAATTCTCATTTATCCACAGAGCCAGATGAATAATGCTAATTATACATGAGTTAAAATATCCAGCTCGATAATTAACTGATAATAAGTTTACTCATTGAACGATTCATACCAGGAAGAGAAGGAAATACTTGTAGTTCAATGCCCCTACACAGTTGACAACCCAAACACAATGATGATCCATCTTCAGTATACACCTCCCACCTAAGAAGATATATAATTGTAACAAAATAACGACCGTGAAAGGGTGAAAAAAGATAAAATCAGACCAAAAATCAAGTCCTGATATGAGTAAAAAGCTACTCACAAACAGAGCAGTGATGACATCGAGGTGGCTTCAACTGGTTGCATTTCCTACAATATCGTATTCTATTATTCTCTGAGTCGGCTGGAAATTCTGTAGCTGTCAATGGGTCACTATCTCCTCTTTCTTCATCGACCGCTGGTCGCCAATTTGGAGGCACGCTGCCCGGGTCAGTAAATACAACCGAAAAATAACTCCATAATAGCATCACCAACTGCAAAGCAACAAACTTTATTAGCTTTTTGGGTTATATATTTATATATATATATATATATAATAAATACGATCGACTGAAATGTCATCAATTCCCTCTTGTTGGATTTCTTTTTTTCTTTAAAAAAAAAGAAGTGTGATCAATTGAAATGAGAGTTCTTTAACTATAGTTTGACGAACAACAACTGAACCAAAATGATAACTACTGATGTCCCTGAGAAAAATAAAATATTACAACATCTAAAGCACAATCTTGAAAGCATTTCTTATGGTTAGAACAACTGATTGCTGTGGAATACCACAAGTACCTCAAATTGGCATTGGTGAAATTAATATCTTTAGACGTTATAAGATGTTTGCTTAAAACTAAACTATTCTTCAAGGTTGGGATGATCGCAAACCATCTAAAACAATTCCAACGTTTCGAGTAATAGCTCAATTCGTAAGCTAAACTGAAAATCAGTGTAATTCCAGTACACTAAACTAATGACTCCAAATAACATGTACAGAAACAGCTCGTATTTTACAACAGCTCCAATGAAAACCCAAAAATTGATAAGATTCCTAAGCTGCCCACGAACCAAGAACACGAACCAAAAGAAGATTACCAGACAGATCAAATACAGAAACAAACTCGTCCCACTATCAAATCAACCAACCAATAAAATAAAATAACATAAAAATAATCAGATTTTAACCTCGTCAACACGAAACCCCAAAACCCCAAAAAAATCAGAGCCCACGTACCAGACCGTGAAACAAGATCAAAATGAAGAAGGCGACGAGCGAATCAAGGCCGCCGACGGCGAGTCCCGGCCCGTAATTTGTAATCACCACCGCGTAATAGCTGACGCCAACGACGCCGAGAACCAACAGTATCATGATGGACCCAAGCCCCCTCAGGGCCGTGCAAAACTTGAACACGTTCCACGCCATGACCACGCCAGATCTATACATAATAATACTATCCGATTGTTACTCAAATTTTACGCAACAAGAATCACTCGAGAGAAAATTATGAAGAAAAAATCTGAATCGAGAAATTTTCAGCTCCTGAAGACGACGCCTTTCAAGAAAGGGTTGCTGGGGTTTATGGATTTCTTGTCTATGGAGTATTGAGCATAGCTCCATTGAAATCCATGACCGAAATAGAAAGGAAGAAATAGGAGGGTCAAAATTTAATCCTTTTTTTTAATTATTATTATTATAATAATTATGTAGGGGGTTGCTTGAAATTTCCTTGAATAAGTCGAGGAAAAATAAATAGTGTTATTTTGTTTATAACTTTATCATCAGTTTTGTGTAAATAATACACTATAATAATTACTTTACATAATTATGTAAATCATAAGAAATTACCTTTTTAATGTATATATTGCTCCTAATATAATAATCTATACTTATATAATAAGAATTACTATTTACCAAAAATAGTAAGCAAAAAAATGTAGCAACATTAATTACATACTATTTTGGGCAAGTTTTATTTTTATCTTTTATTTATTAAATGAGAAACATTTAAATATGCCTTCAATCACGGATACTAAGTTTTGATAACCAAATTGCTCAATTTTGGTACAAATAAAGCTTTTAAAAATTTGAGTATTATTTTAATACCAATCCTTTTTAAAATTAATTGATATCAACATTCACTAATTTGGGCAAAAAAACTTGCAAGTTCATAACCCATAATAATTGTGTGCAATTCATCAAAATCAATGATATCACATAATTATGATTTGTATGTTTTCAGTCGTGTCGAGTTTTTAAAGAAAAAAATTATTTGGACGCCAAAAAATTTTGTGTAATAAAATAAACTTGCCGATCAAAAAAATAAAAAAACAACCGACACACACTCAAATTCTAAGAGTTCTTTTGACTAATCGTAAACACCCAAAAAATTCGAACATAAAGGTAAAAAAATAGAACATAAAAACCTTAAAAATAAAAATTTCACATTTATTTTTCGGGCTAAACAACTAAGATCAACAAAATCTACCGGCGCACACTCAAATTCGAAAGATTCTTTTGATTAATTGTAAAAACCAAAAAATTCAACATGAAACTACAAAAATCGAAAATAAAAACTCTCAAATTGAACAAACCATATTTTGTTTCGTGCAAAACACCTAAAACTAACTAAATGAAAACTAAAAAAAATATATGTATTTATAAGACCCTCAGTGTTAAAACGGTAAAGTTGGAAGAAGATAGATGAAAAAAGACGAAAGAAGAAGTTGGAAGCGGCGAAAAATAAAGGAAGAAATGTAGCCCTTGGTCCGATAATTTCACTATTTATACTATGTTCAGTCTAATATAACCCGATTTGCGTTGAGTAATCTGGATCATTAGATTATTTTTTCTGTTTTGTTTGGGCCGATATGAACTTTTGAAGCCAACATTGTAAATTCGGCCAATATGAACTTTTTGAAGCCCACATTTTTCAAAAACATTCATATTTTACAAGCCCAACATGATTAATATAAATAATTACACGTATCTTATAATAAGTATTTGTTAGGTTTAATTATAATCAGTGATCCGTGCTTTATTATATAATTTAAATTTAAATACAAAATTATGTTTCAACAAGGACGGAAATAATAAAGGCTCGTGCATCGCACGGGTACTGTACTAGTATATATAATAAGAATTAACATTTTTCAAAAGTAGTAAGCAAAAAAATTGGAATAATAATTGCATTCTATTTTTGGTATGTTTTTTTAATTTTTTTTAATAAAAAATCAAGTAGCATTTAATGCTAGCACAAATCATGGGATTTGTTATATAGATGTATATTTGAATTTCAAACTTCAAACAAAACATGCCTAAATGTATTTTGAATTTTTTAGGGGAAAAATTTAACAAACACGTTAAAGATTCCATACAATACATATATTTATATATATTATCTTAACATATAGGTTAATTAGTTTCATATCTAAACAATATATATTTAAACAAAATATAAACAAATATAATAATTTGTCGTACAATACAGATAAATATATAAACAATATATTTATATAAAAATATAATAAACAATACAAATAAATATACAAACAATATATAAACAAATATAATAACTTGTCACGTGTATATTTCGTACAATACATATATTTATATATATTATCTTAACATAAAAGTTAATTAGTTTCATATCTAAACAATATATATTTTAGGAACTTAAAGATTCATAACATTACTGACGTCATGTATATTTATAATATATTGTCACGTACATTTTACTACAATTGGTAACTTCTTTTTTTTAAAAATTATTTGAATAACTGGAGGTTGATTTGTAATTTGAATTTCAAATTCATTCAAACATTTAAAAGAAAATATCATAAGCAGATTTTTTTGATACATTTCATTTTATCTCAACTTACATATAATCACATTCCTACCAAATATTAAATTTGCTTATATCTTTTAAAATTAATTACATCACTAAATAATATTAATATACATTACATATTTATCATTATATAACAAATATATTACTTCTACAAGTGTTATAAATAATAATGACATTATATGATAATAGATTTTTTGATAAATTAATAATTGAGTATTATGATGAACCAAAATATGTAAAATTATTATTATTTTGTATTAAAAAATAAATATATATGTTAAAATATTATTTATAATAATATAAACGGGTCAGCATGCTATTACAATAAATTTTCTAATAAAATAATATGAGTATTATACGAGGAACAAGATTACGTACAATTGTTATTTTTCTTATATCAAGGAATAAATATATATAATGAAATAAAATTTATATTATTATAAACATGTGAGCGAGATAATATATTAATTAATTTACGGTCCAGCGCTACCACTACCAGGCTCAGGTTTAATGCCTCGACAAAAAAGATGACGTTGATGAAAGAGGTAAAAAATAGATGATCAAACTCTATTATTTTTTTAAGCCTTAAGTGACAAGCCCTATTGTCCACTCATTTAATATCTCCCGTGAATCACACAAGTTACTTAACAGACAAGCTCTGTGGAAATGACTCATTTAATATTTATGTCCCGTGCATCGCACGGGGTACTTACTAGTGTACTTTCAAAAGTTATCTATTATACTTATACTAGTACAATACCTGTGTACTACACAGGTGTTGAATTAAGAAACATATGATAAAAGTTATTACTAAAATAAAAATTTCAATAAAAACTTTTGATGGACTAGTTGATGAAAAAATAAAAAGAAATAGACCGTGCAGAAAGTGATTTGTAAATCGTAATTTAGAAGAAAAATATGATAAGATAGCTGCTTGCCCAAATTAAGAAGGAAATGTGTACTAAAAGAAAAAAAAATAACAAAATTAATTATACACTTACTAAGTTAGAAAAATACCGGTCCAAAATACTGGTCAATAATTAAAAAAAAAAATTTATTAATTTAAAAATATAAAATTTTAATTAGTAGTTAAAATGTTTTATTTTTATTTCATTGAGAAGTTGAATTATGGTCATTTATTTTTTTTTTACTTTTTTGCATTTTGTATTATATATTTTTATGTATATTTATATATATCATTATATTTGCTAGTATGGTAATACCATTAATATTACCGGTCCGACCGGTAATACCGCGTACGGGTGACTAGACCGATATAACCACCAATACGGTATTAAACACTGATTTCAACTTCTGTCATTTTATTTAGGTAGTGGTTTAGGTGATATACATAATATTTATCTAATATTTGAGTGTACACATGTTGCTTTTATAATTATTTTATTGTAATGTATTTTATATATTGTGGGTGTTTATTATTTAGTATTATATGAAACAGACCAAATTCACAATGCACTATAACATCACAAAGCTATAACAGTATAACTAACCATTTTGAAAATTAAATATTAAAAAATTACATTACACATCAATATGCTCATTGATCAAGTTTCCAACAAATTTGATTTTATAAATATATATATAATATATATAAATTCAATGGTCAATGGTTGAAAGATTCCAACACTCTCAGCCGTGCGGCCAAGGTCGGTGGTCTTGTGGAAGAACTTCTAGAAAGTTATTTTCACGCATTACTGTGCATTTATCCCTTAATAACTTAAAAATTGATGTATTGATTTAGAAAAATAAATAAAAATAAATTGATTGGGGAAAATAAAATTAAAACATAGTACCTATTTTGATTTACGATTATAAGTTTATATAAGTATAGAGCTGTTAAACGAATTGTTCGTGAGCTCGACTCGAATCGACTCGACCCGATTTGTTTTATAAACAAGTTGACATACGAATTCGTTTAGCTCGACTCGCTACGAAAAAATAAATTCTTATACAATTGAATATAAGGAAGAGACAAAGGGAGCAAGGGAGAACTGATTTATACAATTCTTATAAACAAGTTGACATACGAGTTCGTTTAGCTCGACTCCCACTTAACACGACAATACAAAAGGCACGAAAAACAACTGAGAAACACGCATAATAATACAAAACACATAATGAGCAAATAATAACAACAACAATTGATGAATCAGAAATTTAGAGAAAATTGGCAATAAAAAAATAAAAAGAAATTTAGAGAAAGCCCTTTTCCTTGCAGCTTTTAATTGCATCGTCGAACATTTCAGCTAGCCCCCTTTCATACTTGAACCCGGTTTCCTCTAGTTTCTTCGTCGACACGCCCGAAAATTTCAAGGGTTTTATATCCTTCCAAGATCTGCATAATAGTAAAGAGAAAAAAAAAGTAAAATAAAATGGTACCTAAATTCAGATTCCTAAATAGGGGAAAAAAACTCACTCTGGATTTGGCATCTTGTATTCAGGGTGTCTAGCAGAAATGAATTCACATAGTTTTTCTATAGTAAACTCATCAGCCGCGCAAAGGTATCGCCCATTTGCATTCGGGTACTCAAACAAATGTATATGAGCTCTAGCAACATCGTCAACATGAACCAAACTCGTGTCCTTAACATGCTTGTAATGTAACTTATCCCCTGTCATCAATTTTTTTGAAAGAAAGAAGCAAATTCATATGCACATTATCTACCTATTTGCGTTCGCCTTATGTTTTTTCTCTTAATCGAAACAAGTTTCATTTTTTCTTAGTAATAAAATGAGGAGTAAATTGCAATTTTAGTCTTGTACATTTTTATTACTACTATAACTTTTTCGTCTCCTTCGAATTGATTTTTGTTTTTCGTCCTTTATGTTTGCAAAAAAGGTTACATAAAGGTCCTCGAGCATAGATAACAGACGAAATTGCAACCTTTTTTGCAAAACATAAGAGATCTTTTTGAGATTTTGTTGCGAAAATAACTTTTTTGTAACCTTTCTACAAACATAAGGGATGAAAATAAAAAAAGTAATTCGAAGAGGACGAAAAAAGTTAGGATAGTAAATCATAGAGGACTAAAATTACAATATACTAAAACATGGAATTATTTCACATGATTTAGAAACATACAATCGAGTTTGTTAGACTAACCGAAAATCAGGGCCATGGACACATAAACAGAGTCGGGCATGTGCTTGCAGATAAACGGGCCCGTGACCCAAGTGGGCAACACGCACACGAGATCCAGCCCAAGCTCGTAGGCCCAATCAATGGCCGCTTTCTCAGCCAACGTCTTGGTGACAAAGTATGGGCCCCCAAAAGGCCTCTCCCTCCTTACAAACTCCACATCAGTCCAGGAACTCTCGTCAATCAGGCCCGATGGGCCCGTTTTAGCTCCCACACATGCAGCCGTGATGCTGGAGGTGTACACCACGCGCCTAATGGTCTTGACATCCGCGCAGGCCCGCAAGATGCCCTGCAGGCCCGTTGTGACCCGTTTGATCTTCACATCCTCGGGCTCTGTCTCCTCAAAATCCAGAGGATGGGCCACGTGGAAAAGCCCGATGCAGCCATCGATGGCGGGCCTGAAGGTCTCGGGACTGTCGAGGTCCGCATTGAAGATGCGTAGCCTATCAGATGCGCCCGGGAGGCTCGTCAGGAAGCTGATGTCCCTTTTGCGCTCTGAAAAAAAAAAGCGAAAAAAAATAAAAAATGCATGACATCATCATTGACACGTGGTTTAACGGTCTCTCGACTGAGAATGTTGATTAGAGATTAGTTAAATTAAACCTGGATCAATTCTTGAAGTTGTGTTGACGTGATAGCCATCTTCAAGAAGCATTTTCACAATCCATGAGCCAATAAAACCTGTTCCACCAGTCACACACACACTCCCTTTCTTGCTATCCATCCTTACCTTTCTTAGTTCTCTCTCTCTCTATATTTTTTTTTTTTATTTTATTTTGCTTCTATTATGTGTGAGTAAGAAATGTGAAGACATGCACAGGCTTATATAACCAAATATATAGTCAGACTACTGCAAGCTAGCCATACATTTTCTGTCTGTACATATATATTCAAACTGAAATATCATACTTTAGTCTAAAGTTTTTAGCAAATACCATAAACAGAAATTTGACAATTCATAACATATATATATTACTGTTAATTAAAGTGTGTTGGGTCTCACACTACAATTTGTGATATACCGAATATGAGAGGACATTCTTGTCTTTTCACCTCCCATGTGATGAATAAAAATCTCAATCGCTTTCACATGGGTACAACAATTTGCAAATTTATCAATTATTGAAGATAAAGTCTCTATGGTCCATGATCTCATTGATGTATCCTTGCCAACTCAACACAGCAGTTTCAATTTATGGTCTTAAACAATCCTACTATGTTTTGATATTTTGTGTATCCTATGGTTTTTGTCTGAAAGTTTAAACGGCATTATATCCTTCCTGGACCTGAAAGCATGAACATACACAAAAGAAGGTGAAATTTGAGTGCATCTTCAACAATCTAGAACTAAATATGCATCTTCAATGCCTTCGTGAATGTGACAAAGATATCGTGTAAAAGTTTATTCTCCAACCAATTATAATACCACCTTTGGCTCTATATAAACCAACCCTATATGAAATGAGCCACGCTATTAAATTTTTATATATTCCAACCAATTATAATACCACCTTCGTGAAGTGATTTGGCAAAGCTATACCCACATCAACTATCAGCTTGTACTAATTATGTATATAAGAATTTGGTTGGATATTGGAATATCACTTACGAGTTACTAAATAATAAACAAAAGAGTGTATTTTATAAATTTAGCGAGGTACTTCTTTTGTGACTAACTAATTGATAGTTAGAAGAGAATCAAACTTAGGAGTGTGTGACTGTGTGAATTTAATTAGGTGTCATTTTATTTACC